AATTCTTATAAATTCTTATTTCAATGTCAAAGAGGACACTACTTATATAGTTTCTGTCATTCTAGTTTGCTTGAGAAACCCAGCGATCTTTAGTCCTCGTTCTCTTTCTTCAAAGATCAGTCTCCCGTAGCTGCGAACTGATCGTGTTGGAAAACAAGGCAGAAACGCAGCATGAGCTGTGCAAACTTATGAGAGAGTCATTAATAAAAGATGTGCACTCTGAAGCAATCGTGGTCACGCTGATCCAAAGGCAGCCATTGATTCCCGGCATCACAAGTGGGGCATAATGAGTCTTGTGAATTAAATATGAAATAGTAGTACGTCATTGAGCGCTCCTCTGAGCCTTACCTCCATCCCTCCTGATCTCCCTCACTCTGCCCCAGTCTCTGCCCTACTTAAACAGCATGTTCCTTTGCCTTGGTTTCTGTACCCTCTCTCTTTATGTCTTTTGTGGCTTGCTATCTCCAAAAGCACCCCGCGCAGGCTTGCCCGGTTCCCCTCCACGCAGCAACAGCATCTGTCAGAGAGGCTCCGGGGTTCAGCTTCCACCTGCAGAGTTCTGCCTCAGCCTCCCCTAACAGTCAGTCATCAGTATTCTCTCTCCGTCTCTTCCTCTCACGCTCCGTCGTTCCCCCTCTTTCACTTCTGCTCAGCCGTGGCATACGCCGAGCCGCACCGAGGCATTCCTCTGACAGATATGGTGCAATCTGCCTTCTGGTGCAGAACATCCCCTCTATCTGAAATGTGTTGACAACATGCGTGACAACTGTTATATCATTTGATATTGTTCAATGGTGATGCTTTGTTAAACTTACAAGACTAAAAATTACACACTGACACTATTTGATTTGATTTGAAACCTGCTAAATAATCATGTTCTTCAAAGCAAAAATCAGTTTTCATAGTCACAAATAATGGATAATTGTATGTAGTATGTGGACACAATGAGTCGAGAGCTGTAATCTGTTCTGTACTTTGCTTTTAGCGTCCTTTAAAGGAATAATCCGATGGTTCGATGGCAAAATATTGATTACCTTAAGAAAAAATGTTCTTTGAAAATTCGAGGTGATTGAAAGCACTTACAGTGAAAGTAAATGGAGACAGTTTGACAGAATTAAAAGCATAAATGTGAAGCTTGTAAGTATAAAAGTACTCGCATTCATTTTTCTGTTAAAACTTGTGAATTATTTGAGCTGAAATTCGAAATTAGGCTTTATATGACACTTTATAGCGTTAAAGTCGTTAAATCAGATTCAACACAGAAAAGGTTAAGTGATTTTTTACATCTAAAATCTTTTAAAGCATATTGTTTACATCTTGTACTATTGAAACATTTACAAACTGACTTAAGTATATTTAAGGAAATCATAAGCACCTAAACATTTTGAGATTCCTAAAGTTATATTAAAGTAATATTAAATGTTGATATTAGAAGCCTTCTTATCTATTGAAAACAAAACAAAATAGATCTCTTAGCTGCACTTACCCAGTGGATATTCTCATTTACTGCAAGGAACTGGAGATAATCAACTGTGTGTCCCCATTTATATATGAAAACACATATTACACGTGCCTCCAGAAGGGACATACATCTTCCAGGAACTTATGGCCCTTAATGTAAACTTAGATTTTTCATCAGTCATCATGTTTTCTGTGTAACGAGATTCTGGAAAGGATGTCATCCTGGGCTGGTGTAGGTGTTATTGGCTTGTCTCATGAAACACTCAGCGCTTTCCAAAAAACTATTAAAAAAAAAAAATGTCTAATGACTCACTACCTACAAAAACGGACTGACTCACTCATTTAGTGAGTGGGGAAATGGTAGCATGCATTAAAGCACATTGACTCGATAATGTTTTATCACTATATACATCAGTCTAAATGCTACTCTGGTAAAATAAATAAATAATAATCATCTTTTTTATTTTAAAAAGCAGAATGCGTCACTGGCGACGTGCTCTATCCAGAAAAAAAGGGTTGAGGAGCATAAAACATAGGCAGATGCAAAGCCACATCTCAGACTGCAGGGAAACGCGTCAGTCTTTCATCTTAACCTGTTCTCCAGGGGCCGGTACACAGAGAAACGGGCCCGGGAAAATGAGACTTACTCCACCATGAAAACCACTTTTATCATCTCAATTCATTCACACAGATCTGCTGTGTCTGTGACTACAGCTCCAGTAAACAATTCACAAGTGCTCTGTTTGAAAGCAACAAGCCATAGATATTCATTAAACTTTTCTGTTAGATACCAAATTCAATGTTTTATGTCATACTGTACCATACGTCATCCATGGATTATCCTACAGTAGCTATAGGTTTATCAGTGAGTTTAGGAATAATATATTATATATATATATATATATATAGAGAGAGAGAGAGAGATGCATATCATGTTTAAATGGATGTGAGGATCAGATTTAATATCAGATTTAAGAAATTAGGTTGTGTTTCTGTGCGTTTTCTTGTTTAACCTAGATTGAAAGGACCAAATGTCCCCACAAAGATAGTACAATGTGAACATTTTGATGTCGTGGGGCCTTTTGGTCAGGCTGCATGAGGAAAGTATTTTTCACTGTAAAAAAAAATTTGTTGGTTTAACTTAAAAAATTAAGTAACCTGGTTGCCTTAAAATTTTAAGTTCATTGAAATGGAGAAATTGAGTTAATACAATGAAGGAGATTGATTTAAGTATCAGAAACTCAAAATATTATGTTATCTGAACTACATAAATTATCTAAGTTGATTTGACAAAAGAAAAAATGTTGTGATTACAAATCATGAAAATATTTTTTTACAGTGATAAATATAGAAAGTTGTCTGTGGTTTAGGGTTATACTGCCCTACAAAGCCAAAAGGCAGTAACTGACCAGAGTGTCAAACTGAGAAAAATGACTTTAAAGTTTTTTGTTCTGTCCACACAAATGTATTATAGGTAGAGCAATGAAAATCTGGTGACTTGTTGCCCAGATCAAGAAATGTGTGTATATAAAAAATCTTGTGCTCAAAGTTGACTTTTGACCCTTATTTGTCAGATACTGTACTCTGCCTTTGTATTATTTACTAAAAAATAAGGAGTCGTGCAAAGGCAAAAGGCAGTAACTGACATATAATCAATTTGCTTACCACCATTTAGAAGATAATTAATGATCACCTTCATTAAAGTCTAATGGGAAGAGAATCGACCAAACAAAAAGTTGTATGTGTACGTGGATAATATTTTGCAACAAATACACTTTATGCTGTTTCACTAACGCTAAATGACGCTTAATTACAGAAGACGCTTTGAAACTAGCCTAGATAACTTGTGGATAGCTTGGTCTGAATACCAGCAAGGGACACGGACTATATGTTCAAAACCTTTGAGGATTGTGGAAACATCGTAGATGACGTGTATTGCAATGGATTTTATGGAGTTACAAGAAAAGGTAGGAAATGATTGTTTATTGCCACCGTGCAGTATGTGTTAGCAGGCTACTGCCGCTGTGCAGTAATGTGTAGCATGATAGCTAGGCTGGGGCTAACATGTCAACATTGAATAGGCTACATTCCTGCAATGTCTGCATCTCTGGATTGTCGGCACAGAATGGATTGCTGAGTGATTTTTAATTATTTAAGTATTAGATGTCATGCTGTCTAGGTATCTATTGATGTTTTGGTTGGTGTTGGTGTGCTGGCTAATAAGTAGACTAGTTAGCTTCTTCGTCAGTTGCTTGTCCTAGCAATTCAAAATTAACGTTAAGTATATGGCACTTTCATACTTCATCTAATGCATTATTTTATAAGATAATTTATTACCTTGGTCTTCATGTCTTCTTTTCAACGCCAACTCCACCATCATTCTCCCTCGAGAGCAATTTGCCATTCTTACAGTAGTTCAACACTTGATAAAACGACCACTTAACACATTTGACAGCTCGTTTTTTATTTGGATATGTGTGTGTTATAGAAGTAAGTGATTTAGTGACAATACATGGACAGTAACTGAAGCGCGGCAAATTTTTATGGACAGTAAAACAAAGGCAGATCATCGTAACTGCAAGGTGGCACCGTAACATCTCTTTTATGAATGGCTTAACAAAGGCGGAACTGGACTTTTGCGTCGAAGATCAAAGCCAAAGAAGGGTAACTGCAGTTACCGCTTTCTGCCATGGTTGCTTGTATGGTTTTGGGAGTTACTGTGAACACAACCCTCTATTTTTTCGAAAAAACAGTCAAATTGAGTATAGATATTTATCCACATGATAAAGGAGGTCTTTAATATCCCAAAAATGACATTAACTCATTTTTGACCAAAAATGCAGTTACTGCCTTTTGGCTTTGTAGGGCAGTATAGGGAGATGGTTTTTATACTGTACAAACTATACTCTACTATTACTCGTATGAGACACCACATATTGTGTGTAAAGCTGTAAAGCTCTCATCCATAATTCAAATTCAAGATCTTGCATTCTTCAGATAGATAGATAGACGGCGTAAGATTTACATACAAAAGTACAATTTAATACAATTATTGTATCTGATTTAGCAGTTGTCAGTCAGTCAGTTAATGTGCAATATTTCTATTGGTTAGAAATGCTGGCGCGTCGTGGGTTTACGTATGCTGAGGTCTCGGAATGCAGCAGCAGGTTTGTGAGTCATGAATGTTCTGGAACAAACGCTTTCTTACGTAGGTAGGGAAGATATACCAGTGCTTGTTTGATTCTGCGTCTGCCATTTTATGGCATGTCAATTCTCCAAATAAGAAGGCCGTGGCCATGCATGGCTTAAAAAAACACCCACCACACGGGCTGGTGTGTGTTAGGGTCTTTGTCTTCCCTCCACTTGTTGACTTTTTGTCACTCCACAAATGTTTAATGTTGCTCTAAATCTGCATCTTCTAATAATCTAATTCACAGTCATGACTTAATTATGGATGAGAGCTTTAAATCTTTTAAGTTTCTCCAGAATTTATTTTTATTGCCACACTGCCACGGATTTCTCATCCTGATTTAAAATCAAAGTTTTAATTAAACCATCCTGATTTACTTATAGCTTGTTCCAAATCATAAATGAATATGTCATATAACATACGGAAATCACAATGTTTGTCACAAACACTTTTTGGTGTCTAAAATCAGCAAGTCTGTTTAGGTCCCTGATCAGCTGTGCATCTTTGCATCTTAAATTTCTCTCTTCCCCTCTAACACACACACACACACACACACACACACAAACTGATTGTGCTGCTGCCGTCCCCACAGAACTAATGACTCACTGGAGTGACTCATCCCCTTTCCTTCCTCCATCACAAACACTCTACACATCGTTGTATTATCTCCATGTTTAACCTGAGCAAAGATTGAAGAAAGACTGAGATTTTTTTTTTTTAATCGGCCCATATTTTTTTTTTTGATAGGCCCATATTTGGGATCTAAAAATGATCTCTCTCTCTGTGTGCTGTTGTGTTGATGAAATAAGGCTAAATGTGTTCTGACAGGTAGGAATAAGAACTGATTTTTGAGCAATTCTAAGGATTAATGCGTGTTTTTTAATGTTTTTAAAATTAAAAGCTTTACTTTTTAAAATGTACTTTTTTGAATTATCGTGAAACCCAATTAATATGGCAAAAGTAAGAATCATTCCTGTCAATTTTTCCTTTTCTTTTTTAAGAAAACAATCGAGGACAATCAAGGATGGTTATAAATTGGCAGTGTCCCGGGGGCATTAGAAGACTCTTGTTTGGGTGTTGCAAGAAAGGTTAGGTGCTCAAAAAAAAAACAAAAAAAAAAAAACCCACAAACGTCTGGAATGAATTGTCCATGCTGTTATATTGACAAGTGCTCACCCTCTCTCGCCAGCCGTGATTGTCAAGAAACCCAGGAAAAACCAAGGACAGTAATACGAAGACTTGGATGTCCAGGTAAGAGATATATAGGCTTATTTACAATAGGCTTCCCTGAAGGCCTCTGAAATAATGGATTTAGGACTATTGTTTCATTGAAATGGGATAATTGCTTACTTGTCAAAACTTTTCATGAATAAACCTATCCGCTTTGTAGTCCTAAAACCTGAAAGAGAATTGGTATTTTTGGGTTCCTCTTCAAATTTTCTATTTCCTTATCATTTCAATTTATATACATTTTTGGTAAAATGTTGGACTGTAAAACAATTTTGTTCACGTAACAGTCATATCTTAAAAATGAATTTTGAAGCCACTGTTTTGTATAAAATGTAGGTTCAAATTGGTAAAGGATGTTTTCACGCTTTGCACATTTGAAGGCCTAGACATTTTTATTAGCAACTTTATACACCTTTATTAAAAATGACATTCCATAGACTTCTATTGTTTTTTTCTTTAAAGTTGTAAATAACCTAGTAACCTGTAGGTCTGTAAATCTTACCTAGCCTACAAATTAGTCCCGAAAAGTGGGGGCACACACATACAAACACTGTGATACCCCCAGGTAAACAAATATATATATATATATTAAAATCAGAATTCATAATATTACATCTCTTTTTTTACGCAGATGGATGAGGGAGTCGATTGCACGGGTGTGGCGGACAATGGAGTGTGTTTTGTGTGCATGTGAGTGTGTTGCCCTCCCTCCCTGTTTATTAGTTGATACACGCCCCCTTTTACATCTAATTTACAGAGAGAGAGAGAGAGAGTTTCTCTGAGCAGATAGTTAGGCTACAAATAATTGTCCATGGAGAAAAAGGGGAAGAAAAGAAAAGGTGGGGCTGAAAAGTTTTTCCTACTCTATATACTATAAATAAATAAAACAATCCAATATTGTTTTCTTCCAAAAACAAGTTCCTTATTTTAAGTTTTAAAAATTGAACTTAATAATTACATAAATTAAGATGTTGATGAGATTTTGTAGCTATGTTCATTGCAGATAGGACCAACATATGGAAGTAAAATAATGACAAATGTTTTTGAAACAAAAAGCCTGTTGATTTGTACTACTTGAAAAAAATATGCATTGCATTAACCCAGCTTGTATCATAGGGCTTGCATTCTTATGGGCTGAAATTTAGCTTGGTTGAATATTTAAGCTGTGAATATTTAAATTCAAAACATTTCAAACATTTTCATTAGTAAAAATTCAGTAACCCATATTCACCTTTCATATTTCTCTTTCAAAATATTCAAACTGATTCAAGCGTGTGTTGTTGACGAAGACAAACTCTGTTTTTCATACACATACACAAGCTCATTCAAATGTACACACACACACAAGCCATCTCCTCCTCCTCATAAAACTCTGCTGAATATATTTTCAAAAAAATGAATATTTTCAATCTTGATTCAGGAGTTGTACAGCTGAGTGCAGCACTGTTAGGTGATGTTTCTTACACTGCACCAAGATGATACCCCCAGACTAGCTGATTTACTGTCTTGAGATCTTTTACTTACTGAGCATTTGATGCTAAAATGTGATGTTTTTTGTCATTTACATTTTATCAATTTCTATAGGCTAATGTCAATGAGATTTATTATTACTGCAGTGATACCAAAGTCAGTCATATACTGAAAGATAATGATATAATAATGATGTGAGGCTATTTGCACAGACCTGATTGGTTTTAAATTAAATTACATTGGTAACACTTTACAATGGTTCGTTAGTTAACATTAGTTAATTAAATTTAGTTAACATGAACTAATAATGAACTGCACGTACATTTATTAATACTTGTTTTTAATGTTCATTTCAACATTTAGCTACTACTAGGCTACTTTATTTAAATCTTAACTTTAGTTAATGCACTGTGAACTTACATGAAATAACAATTAACAGTTGTATTTTTATTAACTAACGTTAACAAAGGTTAACATACTTTAACAAATGGATTTTTCATTCATTTAATAGCCTACATTATCTAATGAACCTTGTAAAGTGTTTGTGTTTCCAATACATTAGGTTATTACTAAGCAAGCAGGATTGACTTTTTTATTGGCTCACTAGTATTTAATAGTGTTGACTAAACTAGCCCTTACACAAAGTCTTTTTAGTCAAATTATGTTTTTATTTTGTTGCGTAGCAGGTCTTAGTGTAAGCTTTACACTAATGACGTTCTGCGCCACAAGATGGCACTGTAAGCGCGGGAAATGGGAAAGGAAGTCACTTTTGAGACATGAACGAGTGCAAGAGAGTTTCTTTTCTCTGGTTTAATTTATTTAGTTTTTTGTTCCTTAGTGATTCGAATTACTGTTTTCGACAGTGGAGTTTTACTTCAACTCATGGGCCCAGACTTGTCCTGCAGCATCAACACAGCTTTCTAAACCTATTATCATTTTTACACCTGTGGAGAAAAGTGGATATGAAGAGTGCTAACTGCACACTTGGATATCACAGAGGCAAGTGGGATATATGTTTGTTAATAAATTTGAAGAAAATTAATATGTAAATCACAGGATAGCACGGGGGCAATATGAATTTAAATAGGAATTACATTTCAGAGATAATAATGGTCTAAACTGCTGTTGGCTGACAGTCACACCTCAAAGAACTCATTGTTAAAACTCTGGGAGCATATGCCAACATATCATTGGAGCATGTCCAATCCATGGCCAATCTCATACTGATCAAATCCAGATGATCTCTTTTAGATATTAGCCTCGCCAAAGCTGATATTGATCTACATGTATAATAATTTGCAAGCTTATATTAGTCACCACTAATTGTGTGTAGATCATGCATGCACAGCCACAAACATTCCTCATGTCCACTCTCATAAATCTGGAGACTGGAGTTGGCTGAGAAAATCATAGCTTGGCCTTGGTCATAGCCTACTAATGTGATTCCAGCTATTTGAGGGTCTCATTTTTCCAACATTATTGTCATTTTCTTTTGGCTGGAGTAGCTGGACTGACGTTGGCAGTTCCGGAAGTTGAGTCTGAGCCATTGGGTCGCAGTTCTGCAGGCGTAGTAAGGTGAGAGATCCAAGCGTGGGATTGGTCCAGTGAAAGAAGTGAGCAGTCTTGGTCGTTGAGACCCAACAGCTTATTAACAGCACCATCTGAGTCATACTGTGGGGGTACATTAATGATGCAGCTGGGGTCAGCATTCATGCTTGAGTGTTTATGATTCAGCAGATGCCCACCTTCTGATAGATCCCTGAGAGAATGCTGCTCTTGAAAGTTATGTGATCATTTACACACCCTCATGCTGTTCTAGAACCATATGCTGTTACTTCAAAGAGAACTTTAAGAATATCTACGCTGCTCCTTCCCATGCAAGGATAGGTTTTTTTTTTGTTTGTTTTTTTTGAGAATCAATGTACAAAAAGGGACAAAAAACACCAACACCTAATTTAAGTAGTTCAAATGACTAGTGCGCTAGATTGCACGTTTCTTTAAATGTGTGTTCCTCACTTGACTCCAGAAGACTTGGAATATAGCTCACAATTTTTATGGACTACTTTATGATACTTTTATGGTGTTTCTTTGAATTGTTTGGAAGTTTGACAGATGTGGCAATGAACCAGACCACATTTGCCAGATTGGCACCACCTCCCTACAAAGTTAAATGTCATGACATTATTGTGTAATATTAGTTATTTCACAATTTGACCAATTAATGCAAAATGGTTCCATCTGCATGTTAATTGTTTTTTATTGTCTGATAAACTAGGCTAGTCACTCGATTTGTTGAGTCATTGTTAACCATCAGAAAGCTGATTATGAAAGTAGAGGCTCGCAACACACGTCGGTCAAAATACCAGATAAATGCACCGAGTGAAAAAAAAAAAAAGCATGTGAGTTTTTGTGTGTGACCTTAAGTGAGCTGTGGTTTGGCTGCAGCTCCGGCATGGCTAGAGTCACGTCCCTCGGCTGAAGGACGGTGGGAATGTGGTGAGTTCGGTCGAGACCAGCTCGTAAAACTTTGCACCCTGGCACTTTCCCGCTTCCCCTGTAGACAAGGAACCAAGAGTAAGAGGGAAGCCACACAAGCACATCATGTAGGGTGGGGGTTTCTGATACATTTTTCAGTCATACACAGTGCGGCTCAGCTGACCCCGAGGTTGTGACCTATCGCAGCTTCCTTCTGTGGTTTGATCGCCTTGACAAGTTTCAGTTCATCACGGCATGTTTAGACTCTGTGCCTTCACTTAACCCCTCGACCTTTCTCAGCTGATGTGATCACTCATGTTTACTGATTGTGAAATGTCCTCTAAGCAAGATCGTAAACACACACATATATTGACTCCAAAATGTATTTGAACACATATTCAAAATAATAAGCAAATTGTTTTTCTGCTTCACTTTTTCTTGCTGAGTTGGACTTTTTTTTTTTTTTTTGAGCCAGGTGATTATACTGCTTATGTGTGTGTATCTATAAACATCTGTAAATAATCTGACTTTATTCTCTCAAACTGAAGTATCACATAGGGATGCACGATATATCGGCCAGCATAGCCCGATATATGTTCATTTTTAATGTTATCGTTATCGGCCCGGTAAGAAAATGTGGCCGATATATTAAAGCCGATAAATGATGTATTATTCCCTTCAGCTGAGACACTTGTTGAGCACTGTTAATGTTTTTGAATTTCTTGAAATATGATTGAAATCCATTCAAAAAATGAAAATACGGTTCGGTACAACATGTGCAGCGCAAATCTGTCATATCGGCTGTACAACACTATAACACTGACATGGATTTAATTGTGAGACTTTTGTTTTTGTAATCAGGCTCTCAAAATTAGATAAAAATTTGGATTTAAGTTTATCGGCCGATATATCGGTTATCGGCTTTCAAATATAAAGAATTATCGGTTATCGGTATCGGCCAAAATGTTCATATCGGTGCATCCCTAGTATCACATTATCACTAAGTCACACCCTATGCTTAGGACACCCCTGGTAACAATTCACGGTTAATTTCGAATAGAACATTTCTGAAAATTAGTGTTCTAAACTATTACTCTAACCAGCGTGTTCATGCGGTGTTCATTGTTACAGTACGCAGAAATACAAAACTGCATTATGCATGAACACACAGTTTTCAAATATTTTAATTTATGTTGCTGATTTTTGTCACATTTTCAGCCATTTTAGTTGTAGTCTGGAGCCCTGTTCAGATCTAACAAGCTTTGTCTTGATACTGTCTTTATAACAAAAGCTACTTGTTTTTGTTATCTAAGAGATTCTTACATTTTCAGTTGTGGCGCAAGTCATATTTGGGGGTTGCGTCGCTGTTTTTGTAATATAATATAGATATTTGAGTCAATATCTTCTAATGGGTTATTAAATGTAACAAATCGAGTAAAAAATGTACAATTTATTGGAAAATTAAACCACGTTTTGTCAAACTTTGATAATTGCCGTTATCTTTAAACAACAGAGAAAATCAAATACCAGAAGATCAGATGATCGATAAATTTTTTTCAAATCACCTGTCAAGTTTATGATGATAAATATGACATCAGTATATGAGAGTCAAATTGGACGATTACAGGGTCTCGTGTCAAGATCACCAATTTAAAGGGATAGTTCACCTAAAAATGAAAATGATGTCATCAATTACTCACTCTCAATATATTGTTCCAAATCTGTAAAACTGAGCTTTCTGTCCC